CCTTCAAAATCTGGTATATATGTGACATTTATATCATATCTCAGTTTGGACTCACTACATTTCAAGTGTTCAATAGCCACATATGGCTATTACCTACCAGATTGGATAGCACAGACTTAGAGTGAATTACCAAGTTAGGGTACTTGGGTATTATACATATGCTTTACTTCTCTTTCTCTTAGCTTACCAATGGGTCATTTAATTATTTTTCCCTCTTCCTGGGACTAACTGGGTAGAAAAGAAATACAAAACTCAATTAATTAAAGTTATTAACTTTTATTCTGAATTTTACTTAAGCACATGGCTGCCCACAATAAAAACTATGTTTCCCAGCTTTCCATGCTATAAAGTATGTCATATGATTAAGTTCTGGATAATAGGAAGTAAGGCTAAAAATGCACCTTTTAGAAAGTGTCCTTAAGGGAAGGTGGCATTCCTTTTTCCCTTCCCTACTGCTTGACATGGGGATGTGATGGCTGTTGCCCCATTTTGAACCATGAAGTAAAATGTATGTCCATAGGGATTGCAGAGCAGTAAGCTAGGTATTACCATCTCTCAGGTGTCTGAGGAGTAGATCTACCCTATCAGCCTGGACTACTCACCTTAATACTTTACTTACATCAAAGAGAAATAAACTATATTGATAAGCATAGTCATTTGGAGTTTTTCTCTCACTGGTGGTTGAATTTAATTCTAACACACTGACCTACGAATTTGATGAAAGCTTTGGTAGAAGAGTGGGCTGGAACAAATGCTTAAAGCAAGTTTCCGATTACTTTGGGTTTCATTATCTATTCTTTCACTGCTTTCCTTTACCATGGATAATATAATTTTAAGTCAAAGGTATGACTATTCAAAAAAAATTTTTTTAATTCTCTTTCCCAATCAAAAGGAAAATAAAAATTTCCAGAGAGTCCTTCAAAAATGTTTACAGCACTGACTAGAATATCTAGGTTTGTTATGGGCAAGATACTACTTCTCAGAAGTTCTTGTCATTACAGATCTGTCAAAGTGGCACTCGTGGCACAAAGATTAGTTTCAGAAAAAAAGGGGCTCAACTAATTTAGTGTCTACATTATATTCAATACAGAAAAAGGTATGCCATGAGAGGACACTCAGAGAAGACATATAAGGGATCATAATCACCATGCAAAGTCAACACAGTACACTATTTATGTGGAAAACAGCTTCATAAGTACCACAAATTTTAAAACTGCTATTATATTGACAGTAAAAAATACAATGTAATAAGGAAAAATGGGTTTAGCAGTCAGGTAAGGCTGGAAAATACTGGTTTAAGCAAAGGTAAACCATTTCTTTGTTGTAGCACATATGATTGTACAACTCCAAGAGGAGGATATATAATAAGATTCCTAATTTTGATTAGGAATCTCCATTCCACCCCCACACATACACTTTTTTAGTTGAATATCCTTCAGAATTAATTTTCCATGGCTTAACTTTGGAAAGACTAACTTAAATATAATTCCAACTATATACATATATAATTACAACTCTAATGTGTCTGTGATCAGAGGCTTGCTTTTCTAGGGAATGTTGCTCCAGTTTAAAGCGAATATATTACAAGCAGAATAAGGTATGTCTAGCCAAAGTTAAACAGGGTCTTTACCAATCTAAAGAGGACAGGCTAGCAATAAGGAAAGGTATAAGTGGCAGTAGTGGCAGGTTTGTTGCACAGAAACTGCCATCAAATGTCACTGGGCCCATCAGGAAGAGCCACTAGAGAGACACACAGAAGCCAATGAAATGGCTTACTACGGTAAGAATTTGACCCTAAGTAAGGATAATCTAGTGGGCTCCCAAGATTGTTTTCAGAGACTGGGATGGCCTGAGCCTATAGTTGGGGTTTATTAAGACTTAACCACAAGGATTAAAGACCATGGGGACATGAAGATAAATAAGTCATTATAAGAGGTCTATCTAGTCTACACTGCCAAATCTTGGGGCATTTCTAAAGCCACTGTTGAGCTCTTAAGGATGTTCAAATGGTATCTATTTTATGTCAGGGACCATGCATGTTGATTCTAAGCCTAGGATACCAGAGGAACATCTGTAAAATCTTGAAACCATCCTGCTTATTCAGGTCTTCCTACTAACTGGATACAAAATTGGAATGGTTTGGGGATCTCTTAAATCTGCCTTGGTTTGGCAGGGGAGGAAGTGAAGAGGAATGGTTGCTCCATAGTCAGTTACACTGCAAGATTCAATTCCAAGTGAGTATGTGTGTACGCATGTGTACATGCATGCACACGGAGAGGCATGAACGTGCACACCCCCTCCCCATGAGAATTCTACTGTCCTTTATGTTTCAGTATTATTTATAAGCTATGTAATTATGTGGTTTAGATAAAAAAGATTTAATTCTTCCCATGAGCTCTTTCAAGGGCACATAAAATCATAATTTTAAATCTGGAAGGACTTTAGAGCTTATCTAGTCCAACGGTTCTGAGGCTTTTGGATTTTGCAGACCAACAAAATTTCCCCAAAATTGAATTCCAACATAGGGTGTCGATCTTTCTATTTTGCCCAGTAAGGACAGCAAAACAAATACAAAAATAAACAAACAAAATAAACCTATCTACTGTCATTAACATTTCCAGGAAATAGTCTCAGAATTTAAAAACTAAAATTAGCTTTGTGAAAAACTTACTAAATTATTGGCATTTGGATATGACTGGCATTTTGTAAAGAAACCTAGCAAGGTAAATAGCCTGTCTGAGACAACCTCTGGCTTGGTACAGAACTGAACTCTTTCCACCACACTATACTTCTTTCCTTGCTCTCATGGATAAATAATGCCAGTGTTTCAAAGACATACTCTCCAATTTAAGAAAAATGTTTGAAAGTGGAGAACCAAGTAGTTAACCATAAATCTGAAAAACTGTGGGTGAGTATGGGGTACGCTGGGTGGGTCAGAAGAAAATTCACCCACGGAAAGAAAAACAGAACAAGTGATTGAGCCATATAAAGAATTTTCAAATACTTACCATTACACAACTGCCCAAACTTAGGTGCTGAAGCTCTGAACAGAAGTTCAAAATGCTGAGCAGTGCCGTTTGCTGCCATCGGGGACCACATCACAGGCAAATACGGAAAGTGAATGAAAGTGAAACAAAGAGAAGAGGTCAATTAGACATTAAAGGCTGTCACTGCTTTTCCTGAAATATAGCTCAAAACCTAGGTTACAGATTCCACAAATGCCATTTAATGAGTCCCCAGAGGCTTCGCCATTGATTGGCTTGGAGTCAAGGTAATCATTACTGGTCTCCATGTAAGTCGTCACTTTGTATATGGTTTTGCATGCCCTAAAGATACCTATATTCCCTATGACCTTTCAGTTCATTTCCCAAAGGCAAGCAATTTGAAAGTCTGGTGAAGACCGAACAAGACAAGCTAAACCATCCGTCCCTCCAAAAAAAAAACACCAAAAGCAAAGAACCCACAGGGGGCTGGTGACACTCTAGAAGAACAGCAGCAGCTCTGACATTCACTGATCAGCTGCAGCCTGATGGAACTGCCAATAGAGTCACCCCAAATCAGGATTGAGCCAGTGACTTTAATGTCAAAGGATTCTCTTTGTTGACAAGGATACCAACAACCATTGAGCACCTGTCAGTAGCAACATGCTGACTGAAACACGTATAACACGCACTTTCTAGTCATGTTCCTGCCATTTAAGCTCATCTCTCCTGTGCAATAAAAACGGTCTCACCACTAAAGAAACCCAAAGGTATGCTACACTGCTATATAACCTTGGCATCTAAAATATCTTTTAAAAGTCCTAATCTCATTTCATGACATGTCTGTCACGAAGAATTGTAAAAATCAAAATAGTGAAAAATATTCAAATTTCTAGTTTTTCTTTTATAAATTAAAAAAACTATTCAAACTTATGTGGCAAAATTTCTTTCTAAACATTTTAACCAGACCGTATCTAAAAACATCAAGCTATTATAAAACCTCTGCTAAATCTGTTCCAAGTGTTCAAAAAGTAAAAAATACCAGTTGAGGGAAAGGGGAAGAATGTGTCAATGACAATGCAAAACATCTGGTCAAATCCCAGATAAGATTCTCATTGAGAAAGTAGTAAAGTATTTCACATAAAATAGGACTACATAGAGCAACATAAAATAGTAATAGTTATAACAGGCCCTAGAGGGATATTGGACTTAAGTCTAATTATTTCACTGTTGAGCATTTCTTTAAATTTAAGCAAAATAAAAAAGCTTATATTGATTTGATACTTAAGTTTCAACATAACTTATATCATTTATAAGACAAGCCCATGTAGCTCTCAGAATGCTAACATTAGAAAAGGTATTTGAAGATAAATTAATTTTGAGGTTCTCCATAATACTTGGCCATTTTAATTTACTTACATTAGGTTTGTTTTTACTAAAGGTCCACATCTTTATAAAATGGTTGTTTTACAAGATTTTCATATGAGCAGATCCAGAACATACTAGACAGAATTTTTAGAAAGGACCTCACATATCCTTGTTAAGAAATTTTAAGTTAAAAAATGTACACATATATACACAAACACACATACTATACATACATGCATATGATTCATGGAACTTGTCTGGTAATTTATTTTTAAATTTACTATGAAGAATATCAAATATACAAACAAGTATAGGGTCCAACATAATATCCATGTAGACAAGACTCAGATTTTATCAACTCTTAACATTTTGCCTCTTTACTTCTCTCTCTCTCTCTCCATTTTTGTATCCCTCCGTCCATTCACATACTTCCTCAGAGGTAACCTTTATTATCACTTGGTGTTTAAAAGAATGCCTGAAAATTATATAATTTCAAAAAAGAAAGTTATATAATTTTACTATACATTATATATCTATAAGGAGTGTATAATGTCCTACATGGTTTTTATATAAACAGTGTCACAATCCACGTGTACTTCTGCATCTTCCTTTTCAGTATTTGTGAGGAATTTGTCCATGTTGATATATACAGTTCTCATTCATTGATTTTTAATGGTTATATAATATTCCATTATGTAAACATACTATAACCATACACTCTTATTTGACGGATATTTACTTGTCTACAATTTTCACTATTATAAACAGTCTTAGAATAAACATTCTTAAACATGCTTCCTTGTGCATTTATATGAGAGTATGTCTCTAGAGCACATACCAGACAAAGAATGTTCAGGTGTTTGGGTATGCTTTGACTTCATTAGATTTTGCAAAATGGCTCTTCTGAGTGCTTAAATCAACTTATTAAATAACTTAAATTTTATTAAATAAGTTGATTTAAGCAATATAAGAGTAGTTAGGTAATATAAGAGTGTTAGGTCTCCACATCTTTGCCAACACATAGACTTTTCATCCTTTTTAACATCTGCCTATCTGATGAGTACAGGATGGTAAATTTGCGTTAGTATGATTGCTAGGGAGGATGGGGATCTTATCATATGTTTATTGGCTACTCCTACTTCCTCTTCTGTAAATTGCTTGATAATATCCTTTGCTGATTTTTCTTTCCATCAGGTTGTTTCTTCTTTCTTGATTTGTAGGAATTCTTTATTTAAGCTGGATACCAATCTTTTTCAGTTACATCTATTACAAATATCTCCTCTAAATCTGAGACTGTCTTTTCAATTTGTTTATTGGATCTTATGAGATATGAACATTTTAATAAAGTCATATTAATCTTTTTGCCCCTTATGTTTATATTCTGTTGTCTTTTCTAAAAAGTCCTTCTTTACCCAAGGAAGAATATTCTTTTTTTCTCAAATGACAGCTTCAAAGTCTTTCTTTTTCACACTTAGGTTTTTAACCCAACTAGACTTGATTTTTACATATTAATATAGGTAGGATATCAAATTTCATTTTTTCTCCAATTGTTCCGGTTCAATTTATTGAAGACTCTACTTTATTTACTGATTTGTGATGCTTTCAGTCACATACCAAGTTTCCATATATGTGTGAGTCTATTTCTGGGTCGTTTTGTCTCGCTGGTCTATTTGCCTTTCCCTGCACCAATTATTTTAGTCTTTAATTATTATAGTTTATAAGTCTTAAAATCTAGCAGTGCAAAAACCCTCTCTTCATTCTTCAAAGCCTATTTCCTGCTGTTACCACTTTATTCTTTTTTTTTATTTCAGAGTATTAGGGGGGTGCAAATGTTTTGGTTACATGGATTACTTTTGTACTGCTTGAGTCAGGGTTAAAAGTGTGCCTATCACCCATATAATGTACACTGTACCCATTAGGTATGATTTCACCCATCCCCTTCTCCCCCTCCAACCTGCTTGATTTCTGCTGAGTTTTACTTCCATCTGTGCACATGAGAGCTAGTTGGTTAGTTCCAATTTAATAGTGAGTATGCGTGGTGTTTGTTTTTCCATTCCTGTGATACTTCACTTAGGATAATGGTCCCCAGTTCCATCCAGATTGTTGCAAAAGGTATTGATTCATTTTTTATGGCTGAGTAGTACTCCACGGTATACATATACCACATTTTATTAATATACTCATGAATTGATGGGCATTTGGGTTGATTCCACATCTTTGTAATTGCGAATTCTGCTGCAATAAACATTCGAGTGCAAGTGTCTTTTTGAATAAATGACTTTTTTTCCTTTGGGTAAATACCCAGTAGTGATATTGCTGTATCAAATGGTAGGTCTACTTTTGCTTCTTTGAGGGATCTCCATCGAGACTATTATTAGTTTGCAGTTCCACCAACAGTGTGCAAGTGTTCCTTTCTCTCTGTATCCATGCCAGCATCTATTGTTTTGGGACTTTTTGATAAAAGCCATTCTTACTGGAGTTAGATAATATCTCGTTGTGGTTCTGATTTGCATTTCCCTGATGATTAGTGACTTTGAGCATTTTTTCATGTTTATTGGCCATTAGTCTATCTTCTTTTGAAAAGCTTCTGTTCATGTCTTTTGCCCACTTTTTAATGGGGTTTGATTTTTTCTTGTTGATTTCCTTGAGTTCTTTCTAGATTCTGGTTATTAGCCCTTTAATGAATGTACAGCATGTGCATATTTTCTCCTATTCTGTAGGTTTTCTATTTGCTCTGTTGATTGTTTCCTTGGCTATGCAGAGGAATTTAATCAAGTCCCATTTACTAATTTTTGTTGTTGTTATGATTGCCTTTGGGGACTTCTTCATAAATTCTTTGGCTACACTGGTATCTAGAAGAGATTTTCCAACATTTTCTTCTAGAATTCTCACGGTTTCATGTCTTAGGTTTAAGTCTGTTATCTATCTTACATTAATTTTTGTGAGTGGTGAGAGATTTGGATCCTGTTTCAATCTTCTACATGTGGTTACCTTGACGCCAAAACCAGGAAAGGACACAACAAAAAAAGAAAACTATAGACCAAATACCCTTATGAATATAGATGCAAAAATTCTCAATAAAATTCTAGCAAATCAAATTCAGCAGTACATCAAAAAAATAATCCACCACGACCAAGTGGGCTTCATTCTGGGGATACAAGGATTGTTCAACATACGTAAATCAATAAATGTGATTAACCACATACACAGAAATAAAAACAAAGATCATATGATCATCTTGATAGATGCAGAAAAAGCATTCAACAAAATTCAGCACCCTTTCATGATAAAAACTCTTAACTAAAAAGGCATAGATATATATCTCAAAATTATAGAAGCCATATAAGACAAACCCACAGCCAGTATCATACTGAATGGGGAAAAACTGAAAGCATTCCCACTTAGAACTGGAATAAGACAAGGATGCCCACTGTCACCACTTCTATTCAACATAGTGCTAGAAGTTCCAACTGGAGCAATCAGGCAAGAGAAGAAATTAAGGGTATCCAAATGGGGAAAGAGGAGGTCAAAATATCACTCTTTGCTGATGATATGATCTTATATCTAGAAAACCCCAAATATTCCGCCAAGAGAATCCTGGAATTGATAAATAAATTCAGCAAAGTGTCAGGTTACAAAATTAATGTACGCAAACTAGTAGCACTCCTATATACCAACAACGGTCAAGCTGAGAATCAAATCAAAGACTCAATACCTTTCATGACAGCTAC